CTTTGACTAGATGCTTCATTCTCGCCTGCTTAGCCCTAGTAAAAGATAAATTTATCCAATAACATGCTTTTTTAAAGCAAAGTAAGATGTGACCAAATGTAAAAAAAAAAAGAAATAATAATAATAATAATTTAAAAAAAAGAAAAAAAAACTTTGCTCTTTAGCTGAGCTTTTCATTCTTTACAAATGCGCAAATTCTAGTTTCAAATGCGCCACGAAATATTTGGAGGCTAATGTTTCCAACACCTTGTAGTAGCATGGGGATGTTTTAAAGAAGAAAAAAACAACAACAAAACAATGAGAACTATTAATAAATGTATTCATTTATATCTATGTCATACCGGGTGTATTTTGAAAGTAAACTGAACACTGTGTAATATAAAGCTAGTTCGACACACATAAATAGCCTGGTATAATAAGTTACAAATTACAAGAACAAAGCGACCCCCAAACAATGGCGATGTGACCTCCGATGGAGTTGCGAAGGGGTCACCGTCTGGAACTATGTACTCGGAGAAATCATTATTTTAACGTATTCTTACATTGATTTTAAATTAAAAACACGCTCACAAAAATAAACGTAAGAATTCAAGATAAAATAAATGGATCACGAGTGTCGTTGCAAAATTAAATCACAGATTAATTAATCCCTAAAACAGAAACAACAACAACAATAATACCCGCCCAACAATTGCGGCCGAGGAACGGGGACTTCCCATCTAATCAAAATAATACTTGACAAAACGTGCATTCAAGTAACGCACTTTATAAGATTTCCAATTAGTGCTAACTTCCAGGAATTTTATTTTGCGCGTCCTCTGGACACAGCGTTTCCGCCATACTTACATACATACATACATACCTAGAGAATTATTACTTGTGATTCTATGGCAACAAGCGTCCATGAACTGAACATCTATTCGTAGATTCACCTCATGGACAACGGGAAGTGAGCACATAGCACCAAGAAATAAGTCAATTCTTAAGGAATAAAAACTTTACCACAAAGTTTACACACATTTTCAGGATGAAAGATAGGCGTAACACGTGACACATTGTGTAACATGTCACTTCACTCTAACTCCGCCCGGCCAAAGAGCGCCTATCATTTCACTTGAGAGATTGTAAACTAATATCCGCGCATTGATCTCTTTCATGTCTTTTGATCAGAGTCGGAATGTGAGCAAATATCATACGCAACCATGGGGGCCCGTCCGTAAAAAAAGTCACGCTGTTGTTGGGGAAAAAATTAACCACCTCCCTCCTCCTGTCACAATCTGTCACAATCTGCGATCACAAATTTCGAACTAAAAAAATTGTTAAAAAAGACTAATTAAAGCGTAATATAAAACACACGACACAATACAACTATTACATTTATACAAATGACATCTTCTGTTAGGATACATCCATCCCAACAGAAAGTTCAAAATCACTGTTAATCTCAAGTTTAATAAGTCGTGTAATTTTTAAAAAAAAATATGAATGTGTGTCGTCACACATTATCTTTTACCCCTTCCTCCTCGTGCCACAAACTGTCACACTTTCTTAGACCCCCCCCCCCCACCCCCTCTTTTTTTTAATAAGTCGTGTAATTTTTAAAAAAAAATATGAATGTGTGTCGTCACAAATTATCTTTTACCCCTTCCTCCTCGTGCCACAAACTGTCACACTTTCTTAGACCCCCCCCCCCACCCCCTCTTTTTTTTTCTCTGGCGCGTCACGAACATAAGCAATCGGGGAAAATTACTAGAATATAATATTTACTGCCGTTTTTTTTTTAACTTTAAAGTGTTTGAGCAGCGAAACAATAATTTCTAGAAGTCGGTCAAGTATTTTATGCCGCTAAAAATAGTTCGTTTGATCTAACAATGACGGCAGTTGCTGTTGTGTTAAGAGTTTTCTACCAGCACGGGGAGGCAACTCTGCACACAAATTATTGTTGTAAGGGGGTTATGCTCCATATTTCTATAGCAACCGAATGCCAAAGGGCATGCTTCTTTCTGGTCCATGGAACCAGTGACATGGCAATCAAAATCTGCGCACTTAGCTAAAACTGAATTAAGGTACACTATTCGAAAATAAAGTTCGCACTGCTTATTTCATGGCGATTTTGGGGCTTCAGGAAATGTAAAGCTCGCAGGCTTTAGTTGTGTAACAAGGGGACCTTTTGGATAAAGTTGGAACTAACAAATCTGATTTTCTAAACCAACGAAGTGGTATAAGGGCCTATATGAAGGGCTCACCATACCTGGAAATGATTTTCGGGTGCTGGGAAATGTACAAGCGCTCGTGTGCGTTGATTTGAACTTACAGAATACTCTCACTTAAACTTACAGAATACTCTCATTTGAACTAATAGAATGCTCTCAGAAGATTTCATTCGTTTTGTGGCTAGATACTAGGAATGAACCAATTCCAAAGTAAACTTTTCCCTTATAAAATAATAATTGAACTTTACAACTTTATTATGGATCAGAATTATTAAAATAAACTAAGTCATAGATGATTAGCTGGTATGGTTAGAAACAAAAAAAAATTAAAATAAGTAGGCTGTTCAAAATAATTGTTCAATTCATCTTTATTTATACAACGTTTTGTGAACTTTAAAGTCTGTTTTGTAAGGCCCCCCCCCCCCCAATCTCTCTCTCCGCTTACCCCAAAGGTTTAGTTTTGGAACTTACAAATTCCAATCAAATTATATTTTCAGTTCGTAGTAAACAGNTTTTTTTTTTTAATGGGGAAAAAAAAACGGGTTGGGGGGGGGGGGGGGAGGGGGGGGCTTATAATATAAGCAATACAAAGGAAGTTGCTTCTTGGTTAATAATAACGATAATAATAATAATAAATGAATGTTAATTTCTGGGAGTTTTATTTTGCGCGGCTATTGAGCGCATTCTTACAGCGATACCTACATGCACACCTAGACAACTGTTATTTGTGATTTGTTAATCAACACATTCGTCAGGCGCAGAATTGAAAGAAAAAAAAAATTAAATTAAATAACAAGAGGTACGAGACATTGGCCAAGAAATACTTAAAGGACAAATGAATTTTAAAAACTTGCCTTCCAAGAAATGAAAATTAAATATTTCTATGAAGAAAATAAGTGTTGTAAGGGTTTTGTTATTGTTTCAGACAATACCGGAGGTGGAAATGGATGGAAAAGGTGGGGGGGGGTGGGGGGGGGACTATCATAGCAACATCCTTATATAGAAATCAAAGTGACATAATATGATCTATGAATGGTTAAAATGATAACACTAAACTGAACCACGTGACATAATGTGATCATTGAAACGTTTGGAAAATAACACTAAACAGAACCCGCGATGGTTGACAAATGGTACAAGCAGAATGTCGTCGTCGTCGTCATCGTCGTACCTAAATCTTACCGTCTCGACGTGCCTTCCGTCTCAGAAACACCATCCACACACAGCGTCTCTATTTAAAACTAAGGTGCTATCCACAAAATCGCCTATCATCCACGGTTTAACTACCTTATCCATGCCATCAAAACGCTTCTCATTATCGTGAGCCAGAAGTTAGCGCTCCGGGATTTCATGACGGAGAAAGAAGCGGCACATCTGGCATCTACTCGAATTAATGTCGGTTCCTCCCCGTGCGGGTTTTAAAATAAACAAAAATCATAGTAAACGTGGCAGGCGGGTTCCAGATTGTGGGAAAATCAAACGCTAGGAGTGTGTGTGTGTGTGTGGGGGGGGGGGTGATAAATCGATTGAACGTGAGCGTGGGTGCTGCCTTTGTGATGGGCTCAACTCCACAGAACATCGTATGACTAATTAATAGGGGCGCTACAATGTATTAAGGCGAAGTTAAGTTACGTAATATAAGTTTAATTGCTCCCATTCCTTTGCACCCACTCGCCGGATGACATCACATACTCAAGACATGTATTGAGAGGATACCCCGCACACAATCCCCCCCCCCCCCGCCCCCCCCCCCCCCCCCCCCCCCCCCAACCCACCCGACCCCAAAATGAATTATTTTTTTTTCCAATGAAATCTTGCAAGATTCAAATGTCACGCTCTCAACACACGACACTCAGTTAGAAATGGACACGATTTGTTCAATTCAGAAAGCTCATCATTTCAAGTAACACCCCCGGGGGCTCAGCCCACCTCACGTATACGCCTACTGGTCGATGCATTTTTTTAGATTTTTTGTTTTGTTTTTTTTCGTAGTGGGGAAAGGTGGAGGAGGGAGGGGCCGC